TACTCGCTAGTCAAATTTTTACTTTCATCATTCATAAGATTCACACACTCCAAGCTTATTCTTTCTCACTTTTTACCTAGGGTGTAATCTAATGCTAAATTTTTATACTAACTCCTCACCCTATCTAGTTTAGATGACTCTCACTAATTGCAAAATCAATACTTCAACAAATAACGATTTTCCAAATTTTGATTGCTTTAACATCCAAGACTCAACTAAGCTAATAATCTCTTGTCAAAGATCTAATTTTTCAAATAAGTATTTGAGATTTAATCAATGCATGTAAGAAGTAAATATATAATTATTAATTTTTTTATTATCTTATGCGTAGATTTCCATCCATTAAGCTTTCTGAATGACTCTTATAGCGAGTTTGAGGTTGATGACTTCCAAACTAGATAATTATAAGGCACTAGAATTTTAGATAACGTTGAAGGCTTAATTACTCGAGTCATAAATGTTGCAAAGAGATGCTTCACAATGAGATAACTTTTTTCTCTTCTCCATTTTTTTGCCATGATTAGTACTGTGTCCCTCATTAAACACCCATTCTCAAAAAACTTAAGAGTTTCATCTAATTTTCATCATATTAGCTTTAAACAATTCACGCAAGAACTTACACACAGAATCCTCATATATATCCATATCTCCATGTAAAGTAAAATCGGCCTTTAACTATTCTAAATTTGGTTGAAGGATGTATATTGTAGTAATTTTGGGTATATTATCTAATATCTACTATATCAACCTATCAAGTATATGAATCAACACATAACTTTATAATGCTAAACTTAATTCATGTGTGCAAATAGTATCAAGCTTTGCATGGATAAGAATCAATTAATCTAAATATGTAACATGTTCACAATTCATAAATTAACATATAGTTCCAAATATATTCTCCGGCAAGATCACACAAGCATACAATATACAAAAAAATTTGTTCGATTTTTTTAATTTTTTTTTTCAATATTTCCATTTTTTTATATATATAATAAAGAAGTAAAAGCACACAATCACATAAGAATAATAAAACTAAAAAATCAATATTTTCCACCCCCAAATTTAAAGTAAGCATAGTCTTCAATGTCTTAAAGTATAATCTAATACATAAAAAGACGAGGAAGAAGAAAGAATGTACTCTCCAAATTTTCTGTTTGATATTTGAGGTGGCTTATTGAACCACTTCATTCCATTTTTTCGCTAAGCTGCTTCCCGCTTGATATCCATGTACCTTTAGAAGATAAACAAAGACAAATATGAGAGTCAAGAAGCAATTTAAAGGCAACAACGCAGCGTGTTTGATAATCAATTTTTCTTTTTTCTTTTTAAACATCCTTGGAGCTTTGAAAAATGTGCCATATGTGTTTTCTACTTTTTTCACTCAAATATATGATTTTCTTTAAATAGGCTTAATATAGATATGATGACCCTCTTATTGAAATATGAACATGCTTAAAATTAATGCACCTTAATAGGTTATATGCAATGAAAATACAGAAAGCATAATAAATAAAAAGGTAAGAAATTGAATTGTCTCCTATTAAGCGCTTAATTTAAAGTCTTTTAGCTAGACTTTTGCACAAGTGCTTCATGACACTTTGAATATGGTTTTAGAAGTCCTCCTCAGCTCGCTTAATTTAACTCTTTTACAAATTTCTCAACTCCTCCAAAATCATATTTTGCCGTTTTGAATACGGTATGATCGCCTAAAATTACTTAATTCGAACTCAAACAAGAATACTTCGATCTTCTCGACTTTAATCACAAATTTAATATAAAGTTGGATGTTTGATGCTAATTCCATCTTCTTTGAATGCCATAATTCGTCTGGCTCCTTCGTGATTAGTTTTTCGATTTCTATATATTCTGCTTCTCTAGTTGTTAATTTCTCAGGTTGAATTCTCCATTGGCATGTTAGTTGACTCATCTGGAATTATTTGATCTTCAGTCCTTTTATATTTTTGCATGATGATGTCTCCTGTAACTATTTGACTATAATGATCTTGTTATTCATATGGACCATCGAAGATATCTTTCCTCACTTCCACTGGAGTTGCCAATAATAAGCAATTTTAGTATAATAAAATGCACAACAATATTCACATATCGGTCTAATATTTTCATAAATAATTGATTTATATTTAATCCCTTTGGCTAACCATCCTTATCATTTATGATAGGTTGATTGTATACCCACTTATAAATTCTTGTTTCAAGGGAAAATCTCCAAATAGCATGTTACCATCATCTAAGTCAAGATCAATCATTATGAATTTTAGACTTCTTGCTTCTTTTCATTTCCTATCAATGGAGCAAGTAAAAATAAACAGATCAATTGAAAAAAGAAAAAGAAAAAAAATCAAACAAAAACAAGAAATAATTAAACCAATATTAAAGAAAAATAGTCTCCGGCAACGACCCTTAAAACTTATTGTTGATTTTTATATTCCGCAAGTATTCTATATCAATCGAGTAATATAATGGACTTTTGAGTCCAGATTATCGCTCCTGTGAGTACTATACTTTAATACTTAATCTAATATTTCTAATTCCTATTCAATCAAATAAAGAAAGAATTGTGATTTGCTATGATTTTTTTTTATGTAAGTGCCTATAAATAGTGGATGCATATAAAGATTGATTTAGAATTCAAATATATAATGGATATTATGGCGGAATAATTTTAGTTATTGATCACCTTTAAGTCACAGTTTACGAATCAAAACCCAAGTTATTAACTTGTATAAATTAAAATCATTTATTCAATATCAAGGAATCCCTTTTTTCTTAAGCCTAAAATAAAGGATTCTTTTGAAACACAAATAATAGTTCATTCTAAATTAAGGGATAATAGACTTTGAAGTTTTGAAATGAATCAATGGAAAAACTAGTTCATCTAATGTTCGATCGAATTCTTCTATTGTATTCAATTTAATCATCTTAAGTTCTCATTGAGCCTATTTAACTAATTCAATTTCATATCTCTATGCAAATCAACTTTAGTTATACAAAATACCAGTTCTAAGAATTTATAAATGATCGTAATAATTAGTATAAGTATCTCTACACGTTATACCAATTTACCAAATTTTACTATATGGTCTAAATCTCAAACCTACCTCTCGATTCGTAAAAGATTTACAAAATCATCAAATTAGTGATCAAGTAATTCAATGCATTAAACTCGTAGCAAAATCAACACATGTATGATAAAAGAATAAAAATCTTGAATAAAAAAAGTAAATAATCCTAAGTAGATTACATTGTTTGTCCTAATATAAGGTTTAACTACTCATGATAGATGAATAAAAGCAAATAACAATAACGGAGTACGTTATCGGGTTTTGAATTGAGATGTAGAGAAGTGAATGAAACTTGCACAAAGTTTGTCTTTTCGTTTCAAATTTTAATTTCAAACCCTTGAATTGTTGTTTTTCTCCTCTTAAATTTGTTCTCTAATCCTCAAGTTGTACTTTTTGTATCTCAATGTGTGAAATCCCCTTTAGAAGTGTCAAAAACTTGTATTTATACTCCTCACATTTGTGTTGAATGTAGGATTTTTATATGTTTCAAAACGGGCCAAAAAAGCACCCTAAATATATGAAGGCAGTGCCTTGCGCCATAGAAATGGCGCGTGGCACCGCATCTCTATAGTGTGGAATTTGGTGGTCCTTTAGTGCCATGATGGTGGCGCAACGCCTCCCTTTTGTGCGAAAAATTTATATGCACGTTTTTTAATATTTTTATCATAATTTTTTCTCTTAATATTCGATTGAGACGATTCAAATTGGATTGTAAAGATAACTCAAAGAACTACAACTTTACTTGAAATATCTTTTTTCCAATTCGAATGTTTATTAGGCAAAAAATATGTTTCAATCTCTAGCTGAAAATCTGAAACATCTTGTGAGATTGAAAATTGATTTGTTAACCATATTTCACTCCTTTTGACTTTTATTTGTATCCAATTGATCTCTAACATTCTCAAATCCTCATCGTGAGGTCTAACATAACTTTTGAGAACTTACACTGTAGTCCTCAAACTTTGAATCTTACTTTTTTTTTTTTTTTCAATTTTCGCTTCTTTCTTTTCCATTCAACGAGTTTCACCTAATAAGCGAAATATACAATAAATTAGGCTATAATTGTTTAAATGAACTATTAAATATCTATATCTTTAGGCCCAAATAAATGTATAAAATACACTTATCACATATTACTCGCGGAACTGGCCTAACCTTATAAATCAACTTGACTCGAGACAATTTTGAGAAAGTCAGGTTGAGTCAACTCTGAAACTTCAATTTTAAGGTTGAAGTGTAAAAAGAATTTGATTTGAAGGGTAAAATACACTTTAGAATCAACATATCAAATCAAATCAATCCAATCGATTTGGTTTTGTCTCATTCGCGTCGAGTTTTGGGTAAGGATTTAATCCATCTCGAACTTTCGATTTAGTGATTGGGTTGGCTTTGAACTTGACCCATGCCTGCTCAACCGATTACTATCTCTACTAGTGCTAATTCTTCAATTAGTTATCATGATGGTGACAATTGCAGGGGTTTGGGATGATCGTTCATGGCCTCAACGGTTTGCGTGGTGGTGATGATGAGTGAGGACGAAATGATTTATATTTTAATTTTTGTTTCCAGTTAAAATCTTTTATTCTTTATTTTTATTTTACAAATTTGCTTTGCTCCTTTAACTATAAACAAAATAAGAGCAATAACAGTCCACATGCAAAACATCAATCCTTTTGGATCTCTTGAACATAATCCATCCGAAAAGATTAATTTTATATAAAAAAAAAAAAATGCTGAATTTAAGACCATTTTTGTAAAGATTTAAAGATTTGGACCAAATATACCATATCGGCAAAGATTTGGAACCGTTTGTATTCTTTAAAAAAAAAAGAAAAGAAAAAAAAGAAAAAAAAAAAAAATGAAAAAGGAATCCCGTTTCACCAAACGCGCAAGTTATAACCTATAAGTCACAACAACATCAATCCACTGTGTTATCCGACAAATGGACGACGATAAAGAAGGCAAAATCACCGACTCAGGTGAACTCGCTCATGACTGGGCCGAGTTGACTCACGAGTGCCTCATCAACATCCTCTCGCGCCTCTCTTTGGAGGACCGGTGGCGGGGGATCATGCGGGTGTGTAAGACGTGGTTGCAGGCATGCAAGGACCCGAACCTCAACTCCGTGTTCGATCTCGAGACTTATATCGATTCGGCCAATGAGTTTCCACGATTCTGGACCCCAGCGTTTGAACGTCGGGTCGATAACATGGTCCGATCTGTCGTCATCTGGAGCGATGGGTCCCTTACCGAAATACGTGTTAGACACTGCTCGGATCGCTCCCTCTCTTTGATTGCTCAGAGGTATAATTGGTTTCGTGACTGTTGCGTGCAGGCTTATTCGTCGCTGGTTTCTTAATTTATTTTTTCAATTTGGTGATTGTTAACGTGTGTTCTCTGATATGGCTTTAATTTATTCGTTGGTAATCTGGGTCGATCTGGAAATAGAAAATTTCTTCACACCTTTCTTAAAAGGGATGAATGGGTCTGGAACCCAGGTCATCAACCTGGAAAGCTTTGCTCCTTTCAGATAATTTCTTCACGTGTTTCAATAATTGGCTAACTTTGGTTGAATTGATTTGTTAAAATTTGGTGAAGACTTTGATTTGTTGCCACTGATTACTCTATCGTGATCATTTATATTTTATTTTGATGAATTTGGTCACTTGGCTCTGGTTATGGATTACTGAATGTGGAATTTTTAGCCTTTAAAGTTTGCTGTTTGTTGTAGTTTCCGTATTATAAGTTGAAATTCCTTGGTATCAGCCAACTTGTATATTGCAGAGAGGATGCTTCTAGTAATTTACAGGGCTTAATTTCGGTAATAGGTAGTTTTTGTGTTATATTTGATTTAGAGCATGTTTAGCTGTACTGTAAAAGTATGTTTTGTTAATTAAAAAAAACTAACACTGAAAATGATGTTTGTGAAAATAAGCAACTTAAAAGTGAGTCTGACTTACTTTTAACCACAACCAAACGTGTTCCTATTTTGTTGATTGAATGCTTAAATTGCTGATTGCTGAAATCTCGGAGTCACCAAGCATATACTATTTATTCTTGTTTTTTCCTACCTTTTGAATACTGTAAGGGTAAAACTATGCATACGATTGTTTTCTAAATGATGAGTTTAATCATGTCAAGTGGTTCCCTTTGCTTCTCCAAAGCCTTTTTGAACAGTTGAATCAAGTTTTTTCTTCAACACTATTACCCCAGCCCAAAACAATGCTGTAGTATTTCTTCATCACAGATATCTTTTTCTTGTACTAATCATCATGATTTATTATTATTATTATTATTATTATTATTATTATTATGTAATAAGTCTTTATGAACATTATTCATTAAACAAGAAAGAATTGTTTGTGAGCTATTTCAAAGAAGAGTCATGACTTCTTTTTGTTTGAGAATTGAATATATATATATATATATATATATATATATATATATATTTAAGTATTTTACTTTATAAGAGTTTTTATAGGAAGTTGGCCGATGTGATTATTTTGGGAAGCTCTAATATGCAAAGCAGGAGCACAAGCTATCCCAAATGGTGTGTCCTAAATATTTTTTCAGGGAATACAATAGGTCTTATTGAAATTGAGAGCCAATGTAAGCATATGTGAACTGGAATTTCTAATTAACGTAGAAAATTGAAAGAATTGATACTTCAAATCCCAAATTATTTATGAATATCTGGCATTTTGCAAGTCGGTTGTGGGAGTAGGGGGTTTTATAGGGTTGGGATAGGGAAAGGTGAATATTTTTTCCTGTTTAGATCCTGTACAATTCCTTCTCATTCTATGGTTCACATTTGAATTTCAAACTCCAAATCTCAATCTAGTTACAGAGATAGTAACTCCAACCCATGAAGGTTAACTAATTGTTTATAACTAATCTTGATTGTTTACGTACTAGATCCCATGAAGGTTAACATACTATAATCTCTATTGTTAATAGCTAATAAGTGCACTTAACCCATGATTTTTATATTTTGTGCACAATCATCTCTCCATACACATGACCATGTACAATGTGATCAATATGGTTAATACTCATCTCAGCAATGTAACAAAAATACATGCATAGAATGTTGGAGTTATGAATCATGTTTAGAATTTTGTTTATTATAAAAAGCTACCTTTTTTTAGGGCTTATTCCTAACAGGTCTAAGTTTTACTTTTCGATTAAAATCAAGATTAAGATAAAACGGAGCTGGGCCTTCAGAGGCAGTAGATTATAGCAAATAATGAAGTTATCCAATTGTTTGGTAGAAACAGAAAATTTAATGGGAATCCTAGCAAATCTTGAGATACCTGAACGACTCTTTTAAGATTGTTAAGCTGTGACTGAAGTATTTACATACACATTTTGAGGTGTTACAGAACATATAGAAGTTGAAATTTGTTTTCACTCTGTTTTCGTGTGTTCAAATGGTTGGTTTAATACTTACGGTTATATGTTGAAGTTCTGGTTAAGATGTACGTGGATACTTTTTTGCCTGTTTAAATTGTATGGTGGTTCCCATCTTGGAGGTTCATTTGCATTTTCTTTCTGCTCAAAAAATTGGTTTAGGAGCTGTACAAAAGCTAAAGTAGAACAGCTGTCATTGCAGTCAATTCTTCATTCATTTTTTCCTATTTACCACTGATTTGGTGCATCCCACACATTCTGTATGCATGAGATAATATACCAGTCAGTCTATTGCACTTACAGGTGTCCAAATATTCAAGTTCTCTCTATCAAGAGCTGTCCTAATGTCTCTGATGTAGTTATGGCTGAAATGGCTTCTGGGTGTCCCAAGCTTAAGGAGCTCGATATCAGCTATTGTTATGAAATATCTGACAAGTCTTTGGCAATCATCGGATCGCGATGTCCTAATTTGCAAATTCTCAGGCGGAATCTGATGAATTGGTTGGATCCTTCACAACATGCTGGAATTGTTCCCAACGAGTATCTAGATGCCTGTCCCCAGGATGGGGATTCAGAAGCTGCTGCCATTGGAAAATTTATGCCTCATCTTGTGCAACTTGAACTCCGGTTCTCAAAGTTGACGGCCAAAGGACTTGCTCTGATATCTGAAGGATGTTTGGACCTTGAGCATTTTTATCTATCTGGATGCGCGAATGTCACTAGTCGTGATATTGCAACAGCAACATCGAATCTGAAGAAGTTGAAATATATCGAGAAGCCCAACTTTTATATCCCGAGGTCTGCGTACAGCTTTGAAAGATATGGTCATTGGCAATTATATGATGAGCGTTTCCAAACGGATGTGTTCAGAATTTGACGAGATTGAGAAAGAAGATTCTGCAAGATTTATTGCTGTCAAGCTACTGGTTATCAGACCAGTATTTCTAATAATATGATCTCTATCTGTTGTAGACGTACGATGGAAGTCTTGGTAGCTTCTCGATTGCTTTTGACCATTTTTTGTTTAAATTCAAACTAGAGCTACTGTTGCACGATTTTTTTGTTAGAAATTTGGTCCTGCCAATAATCTGATAATTCATACCGTCAATGCCGGACCTAAATGTAGGCCAAAGAGGCGGGTGCCTCTGGTTCAGAAATTTTGAGGGTGGAGCCTTGGAAGCGCTAAAGGTTCGGCCTGGGAAAAACAATTAGGCTCAATATTTTCTTATTGTTCGAGATTTGCCAAATAATTGATACAAATTCAATAGGGAAAATTAGGTGCAGCGCCCTAAAAAAATTATGTAATTGATCAATACCTTAAAACTAACTTAAACTACTATTACCGTATTAATTATGTTCAAAACCACAGGAAAATCCCCAATCAGAAGGGGAAAGCCCTGAATCAGAAAATTTTCGAGAAATCTTCGCTCCTGACTCCGACTTCGAATTCGACTTCCATCTTCCTATGGTGAGAAAACCTTGCCTACCAATTTAATGCTGCTGCTTCTTTGTAGTTTTAACGAGAGTTTTCCATTTGGATGATTGGGTGATTTTGGGGCGAATCTTGAGTGAAAACCCTTTCTTGTGCTCTAAATGCTTGAATTTGGTATATCTTTGTTGGTATTTGGTCGATTTTATCTATGGTCAAAGTAGGTAAATTAATATCATGAATCAAAGTCATTCAAGAGAAAATCTGGAAGTGTAGAAGGAAATTCAAACATGAAGAATTACAATCGTGATTTTGAAGGTAATATTGAATAAACTTTGTTTTTGCAGTTGAACTTTGATTTTGAGTAGTTTTTTCATTCATTTATATTTGAAGCAAGTTTGGGCATAGATTGTGATGTTTTTGTGTATAAATGCATAAAAAATATAGTCATTAAATTTTGGATTAGCTCCAAAATTAAATGACACACTCTTTCCCTTTGACTTTCTAAGATACCATCAAGGTGTTTGACAAAATGTCTCAATTGCAATTTATATTTACATTTAAAGACATGATGTATTTGAATAAACATCATATGATTTATATGGCTTTTATATAAATTGTGGAAGCATCCTTATGAAGTTTACGGACTAATTCGACAAATTTGAATAACTCCTAATTTATTGACAAAATGCCCTTCGCGAAAATACCCAAGTGAGAGAATACTTTGACAGCTTAAGAAGATTACAAAAGAAAAAAGAAATGGTTTAGGTTTATCCTTTGTTACCTAGGTTTTTTATTTTAGCTTATCATCACTAATCATACACACTTCTTCATTGACTTTTTTTGAGCATACGTTTGAATATGGTTGTTGAAAGCACAAAGAAATAATTGTCCACCATTAAAGATTCAAATACTTTCACAGTCCTAATTGCTTTTTCTTGGCAGTTGAGAGGTTTAGAAGTCATTAAACCTATGAACCTCGATCCCATACCATTTGATATGGAACAGGACATTATCACCCCAACATTTAAGAGGAAGAGGCCCCAGTTGCTCAACATTTTAGAGGATCAGGACCTTTCACAAATGTTATTCTTAAGATGCTTCCCTCAGTAATTAAGAGCACTTCTATCGCTATAAAAATGCTCTTATCGCAAAGTTCAACGATGTCCATTGTGTCAAACCTTGGGTGGCATCGAGGTATTTGGCTGATGTTGAAACTATAATTCTTCTGCTATGAGAAATATGTCTACTATATGACTAATCATTGTCATGTTATTATAATGCAGTGGGTTGGTGAAATTGGTAGGTAGTTTGGCATGTAGTCGATGAAGGAGCTTGATGATGACAATGCGATGATTGTAATCGGCGAGATCGCTTCTACTGTTTAAAAAATGGGAAGGAATCTAGATTGAGGTTTGGGTGTGTCGGGTTGAACTATGGGTTATGGTGTGGTGGTGGTGGTGGTGGAGTGGTTGAATTTGCATAAAATGATTTATTTTAAGATTTTAATTGATGTTTTGTCACTTTTTTAATTTACGTCAATTTTTTTAGTTTTTGTCACCTTTTTGAATTTGTGTCACTTTTTAATGGTTTTTGTCACTTCTTCTTTTTTATTTTTATTTTCAATCATATTTTTTGAAAATTCTCGCACTTTGGGTGTGGTGAAGGAGTGGTTGAATCCGGTGTAGGTGATGACCTCTTCTAGCAACGGAGATTCAAAAAATTTAAAAAAATAAAAAATCAGCTTATTCTCATGTTGGGATCTTCATTAAGTGGAAGTCAATGGATTAGTTGAGTTGTAAGATAACGGTGGCTATGAATTGATTTAAAGATACTTGACATTTTAATTGGTGTTTTGTCAGTAAACAGATTTAAAAATGCTTGACGATGAACGGAGAAAGAGAAGAAACGATGGCTATCACTTTTTTTTTTTTTTTTTGAATTTTATCACTTTTTGAGTGCTTGTCACTTTTTTTGAATTTTTGTCACTTTTTTAGAGACAAACATCACATTTAATAAAAATGACATTGTATATCATACATAACTTTAAAAAGTGTCTTATGTCACTTAAAAATGATAATGTTTGTCATTATTTTGAACTTTTGTCGCTTCTTTTGAATTTCTGCAGCTGTTCGATTTTTTGTTACTTTATCTATTTTTGTCACTTCTTTTTAAAAAAATAAAAATAAAAATTCTGTCACTTTTTTTTTTAATTTCCATCACTTTTCGGGCGTTTGACGTTTTTTTTTTTTTTAAATTTGTGCCAAGTTTTGAGTGTACGTTATTTTCTTTGAACTTTGTCACTTTTTCGAGCATTTGTCACTTTCTTTGAATTTCTGTCTCTTTTCAAATTCTTTTCACTTTTTTTGAATTTTTGTTACATTTCTAATTTTTTGCCACCTTTTTTTTTTTTGGATTTGTACACTCCTTTAGTGTATGTCAATTTATTTTATTTTTTGTCACTTTTTCAAATGTTTTTAGTCACTTTTTTTCTATTTTTTCTCACTTTTTTTTTAAAATTTTTTTTTGTTACTTTTGTGACTGTATGTCATTTTCTTTGAATTTTCGTTACTTTTTTAAATGTTTGTCATTTTTTCCAATTTGAATCATATATGTCACTTTTTTAGTGTTTGTCACTTTTTCTTATCATTTGTCATATGAATTGTCTTGGACATTATGGATATGTTAAGAACATGATTACTAGTGTTACTTTTAAAAAAATTTTCATATGATTTTTCAAAACATCTTTAATTTTAAGGGTATTTTTGTAAGTTGCCCAATTCAATAACATTCTCCCAAAAAAGGGGAAGACCACTTAAGTCCTACATATAAAATTCATACTTCAAACTTATCAAGCTTTCTAAATTTTTTTACAAATCAGGTGATAAATGTAATTATTAAATATTTAATAGTAATATAATATAATCAATCTACCTACCCCGCCCCGCCCCACTCCATCCCATCCCACCAAATTTTAAAATTTAAATTCAAACCATTCTTTTTCTCTCTCCATCCCATTCCACCTCTGGCAACCCCACCACCGCCGGCAACTTCTCCGACGATACCTCCGACCACTGCTCTGACTCCGACGACAATTTCGACTGCCTCCGACAACCTCTCTGGCGACGACTCCAACAACCATTTTGGCAACTAACGACGTGCCTCTTTTTTTTTTTTCCTTTTTTTTTAGACAATGATCTATAACTAATTTCATTAGATCTGTGACCTAATTATGTGAGATGAATATGCATGTAATCAATTTAAAAATTAAAAAATAAAGTTTGAAATTTCAAAAATTAGATACTATTAATATTTTAATTATGAAATAATTAATCAAAAATATTTTTGTAATTAAATATATCAAATTCACAAATCTATTTTTTTCTTTTTTTGAATAATAACCTACGACCTATGTATATTGTGACCTATAAAATATGATTTTTAACTGTGATTTGTTACCCGTGACTCGTAACATAAATTCTGTGACCTTTAAATTTGATCTGTGACTTTTACAAAACGACATGTGACCTGTTAATATTGATTTGTGACCTTTATACTAATTTGTGACTTATATAAAAGGACTGTGACATGTGAGCTCAAACTTGTTACCAATGTACTGTGACCTTAACGACGAATTGTGACATGTAACGTATGAATTGTGACCTTATGTGTTCATGATCAAATTTATCTTCATTGTGACTGTTTATGACTATGTTAGTCTGATTTTGTGACTATATGTAATAAAGTCACATATAGTCACAGTTAACACAAATCTGGTCACAGACGATCACAATAAAGATAGATTTGATCATTCACCACCATTCCCAACACTGGCAAACATAACCTCACCAGAACCACATGTACGGATCAAGAGAACCATTGGCACCGCACCGCACCGCACCGCACCGCACCGCACCGCACCACCACCAATACAACCTATCCAAGCACCATGACAAAGACCACTACCGCCAGATTCAACAGAAATCTCTCGGAACTACCATATCCATTGTCACTGCCACCAACAGAAATCAATCATCACTATATCCAACAAAACCACGGCCTCAAAACCACCTCCATCGCACCACTACCACAGCTTGTATCTACAAATCACCACAACTGCCTCCTCACTATTGCACATCGACACTGTACAGAGAAGCCACCGTCACCACCTCTACCCCTATCGTGGCAACCAAATCCACCACCATCCACGTCATCAACATCACCATATCCACGAAGATGAGGCGTCGGCAAAAATGCACATCGTCGCGATATACGTGTACCGATGCTGAAGTAGAGGCGCTGTCGCTGGAAAGACATTTGCAGAGGCACCGGCAAATACAGAGGCATTGCCAGATGTATGCGGTGCTGCTGCTGCGTCATGCGTCACTGCCACCGCCTTTGCTGCTGGAAGCATCACCGAAACCGCAGCCTGATTCAGCACTGCAAGTCACCATTTCCGATAGTGACGACATCGTCGATGCGGTGAAGCTTCCAATGCTGCTAGGGATTGTGGTTGAGGGGTGGGTGGGTTAGTTGGTAGAGAGAAGGAAGAGGAGAGAAGGTGATAGACATGGTTAGGGTTTAAAATTAGGGATGAAAAGGGAGTGTTGAAATTTGATAATTTTTATTTGATTTATTTGATTAATATTTTTATTTTATTTATTTGATTTTTGTTCGCT